TTTCTGGGGATGCATATGATAGTTCTCAGTGTACAAACATACAGTTTGTAGAATAGTGAATCACTTGATTGTTTATTAAATGAGTTGTACTCAACTGCATCATTAAAGTGGGTATTACTATATTTTAAAACCATTCCATGCACTTCTTAACATGTGAAGACAAGAATTCACAGAAACAGGTTGAAATATGTAGCTGAAATCTTGTGTTATTACTTCATTTTTGGATTGTTTCCAAATCTCTTTTTTTTTTTTTTTTTTTAAGCTAACGATAATCAATGTTCCCCATGTCTGCAAGAGACTTAAGATTGATCTTTATAAGTTCAGAAACAAAGAAATGAGTGTTCTTATATAATAACAGCAACCACAGAAACAAAAATCAAATTCGTTGTTAGTGTTTTCCAGTTTTTTTTTATAAGACCATTATGGTCAAGCTCAGAGGTACAGATTTAGAACAAACTACAGTTATTAGAACTGGTCACTAAAGATCCTTCAAAAAAGATTATGTGATTTCCTTATGTTAGAACCACCACTGAGCTTTTGTACTCCAGTGCTTTTACACCCTCAAGATGTTCTTTGCCTCCTTCCCAACTCTGACTGCTGCACATGAGCCCCATCTCGTGGTTCTTCTGGCAGTAACACGGCTGAGGATTTCACTGAATTTCACTGAATTTTTAGAGTTGGAAGGGACCATAGAGACTAATCTAGTCCAACTCCCCTGCTAAAGCAGGACCACCCAGAGCATGTCAGATCATGCCACTCAGGACTGCATCCAGGAGGGTCTTGAAAATCTCCAGAGAAGGGGACTCCACAACCTCCCTGGGCAGCCTGTCCCAGGGCTCCCAGAATGTCAAACAAAAAAACCCAAAAGAAAACAGCTGTGCAGTACACGCAGGGTACCCCCTACACCTCCCACATTTAGAATAAGGAACTTGGTTGGAGGGCTCCAATCTCTCATCAGAGCACAGGAGGACAGAAACTCAGGTGGTCTAGAAAAGCAGTGTTATCTTTAGGATTCTCAGCTTTTAAACATTCTAGCTTTTCTTTGTCTTTTTTATCTTACAGCAACAAAAAAAAAGCAAAGCCAGGCCAGGAGACATATATACTGTGGCAACAAGAAACTTGGACACGGGTTATTCAGTGAGTCCAGGGAAAGAGTTTTCTGAGCAAACACATCCCACAGAACTTAGCAGCACCGCAGAGCTGGACTCAGCCCCAAAAGCAAGATTGGAAGTAAATTGCCTGGATCATATCCAAAAACCCACGATGATAGCTATTTTCAAAAAAGGAGCTCTACAAATGGTGTAGGTGTGATGCAACGGCATGATGAAGAGACAAAGGAGAACTTACTTCCAGGCCCGTCTTTGATCCTGGGTCCCTCTGACCCTGTCTCTGCGAGGACATTGGCATTAGTGTTGTTCACCATGTTCATCATGTCCAGAGCAGGCTCACTTTCTTCCTCCAGTTCGGGGTGGCTGAAGATCCATTCCAGTGCATGCTCCAAATTATTGTTCTGCAAGTCAAACAAGTCAAAGAGCAGTCTTTAGTACATTCTCCAGCGTCATCGGTCTACAAACAGAGTAAGGATCACGTTCCACAGCACTTAAAACTTGTAAGGTACATACTCTACCTCCATGGAAAACAGTATCCAACAAACACTCTGCAGGAGCTTGACAGATGGAAGAAGAAATCCTCCCACAATTAATCCCCACAGCCCCCGGGTTCTCATCTTGAAGCTGCACAGCTTTAGGCATACAGGTTGTTTCTCAGCAGATGGTAAAAGCAGCGAAGTTTTCCTCACTTTCCTCCATGTGAAACACACAAACCACCTTCCCCGCACTCACCCAGACTAGTCAGGCCTCCCACGCTTTGCCAGAATAGTTCTACATGCACCATCCACCAGCTGGATTTTGAAATACTTGTTTCAAAGACATCTCAGCAGGCACAGGTACAAAGCACGCAATATGAAAGGAAACCCAAGTGCTACCAATAACTCATGGAACTCACCGTTGCCTTCAGCGCTTGAATTGCTAGATCCCTTTGGAAGCCCATGGAAATGATAATGGCAACCATCTCTTCGGGAGGTTGGTTATCTAGCCCAACACCTCCAAACGCAGCTGCTCCACTGGAAGCATCTTCTCCAAATGCAGGTACGACCAATGGCTCAGCAAAGTCTGGAACAAACAAACATTCATCAGTTCCTTCTTTTGCCCCACTGAATTGGAAGAGTCAACAACAAACACAAACAGGACTTCAAAAGCAGTCCTGAAATCAATGTAAGTTCATTTCACTGGCCCAGTTGGGACTCAGATGTGTGGAAAGCCTTAAAAAGAAAGAGATGAGCATGCATGTTACAAAATATCTAGGTGGACAAACTCATACTGAGCAGGCCGGAACAATTTGCCACATCACAGAAGTGAAAGAACTGCAGGAAAGTAGCCAAGATTGGTATGGAAGCCATGATGACACCAGAATAGTAGACAACCCAGCTGATACACACATAGATGTAAAATGAACTGATTCCATAGCTGAAATATGCCATTTAAGCCCAAGTGAAACTCATTCCCCATTTACACAAGCAACACAAAAGCCCACAGTGAAGTTCGAACTCAACCAAATCTGGAGTTTTCTAGCAAGGTCCAAACTTTGCATGGATGGAACATAGGAAGTGGAGAACATCTAGCAGCCCTGTCCATCAGTAGATAGGCCAAGTTCTAAGTACAGCATGAATGCTCCAGCTGGAGCTAGAGAAGGCTGATATGGAAGAAAAGCATCTGGACCACAGGACTCTTTGTACTTACGCTTGATCACAAGTCAGCTTCCCCCTTAGCAGCATGGACCTAGCCAAAGGGTGGAAAACAAAGAGCTGGCCCACACCATCAGTGAGGACAGGAGAGTGTACCTCTGGTGTAGCTTAGGTTTTGTTGTCTTCTTCTAGGCAGAGGATGCCACATAATGGTCAAGATCTGCATATCCCAGGAGCAGCTTAGGAAAATTCCCTCACACCTCCAGGATTCCTGGGGTGGGGAAGGGGGCCATTGTTTCATTCTCACACATCATAAAATTTCTACTGACTGCCAAAATATACAACCAGGAGCTGAGTTTAACCGACACCTTCCAGACACTGACCTGGATCTTCCATGTGTGCAATGATCCAGTTGAAAGCCACTTCAGCACCCAGGTTGCCTGTGTAGTACACAGCTTTCCGACAGGCCTCCAAAGGAAAACCCATCTCCGCCAGTTGCATAACCGAAGAGTCATCGATATCTAGAGCTACAAGAAAGGACCTTCTAAAATACAAAAGTCTAATTTCATCCATTGCATAATATTTCTTGTTGTTATTCATGGTGCCACATATTGCAATCCATATCTCTTGAATTTGTCTTAGTATTAGAGTAAACCCACACCCGTTAGAAAACAGCCTTGCACAAAACATTATAGTATTTGTTAGGGATTCCTGGTAATCTTTTGTCTCAGAAATCTACACAGATCCTTAAACTTTGACGAATTCCTACAGGACTTTATTTATTAAAAAGGCACCACTGGATTTCCAGGGCTGCTGAGCTCAGCTAGAGATGGCAGCCCAAAGCAATCACCTCTCTCAGAGGCAGGATATTGCAGGTGAGAGAATCAGTGGCTGCTGGATCTGCCAGTCTCCAGGCTCTGTCACTCAGAGATGAAGAGCTGATGAAGACGAGCAGAGATCAGAGTCCAGAGGGAGCTGGGATCAAGCAGCTGTGACCCCCAGCACTGCAAGATCCTGCTGATGAGCAGCAGCTCATATTCTGGCTACGCCGATGCTACTACAGTTTCTTAAAGAGTCCTGTACACATGCAAGCAAATGCTGAACAAGTACAAAAGTCATCTGTTGTTTAGAAGCATGCCAGGCAATACTCCATGCATCCCCACGAGGACAGAGAAGCCATTAGCTGAGCAAAAGCAGGAGAATTTTTTAAGCAGCTGGAATACTGGTCTCAGAAAAATGAGATACGTACACTCCACGAAATGGTTTGTCATTCGATCTGAAAATTGAGAAAGAAAAAAACAAGGAAAAGGACTTTATGAAGGGTAAGTAGATTCCTACAGTAAAAACAATTCTGTGTTTTTAAAGTCATAGAAACATTTACAGACAGGGCATGTTTATCTTTACACCCCTGATGTTTTTGCCATGAATTAGAGCATGGAAGTTGCTGCCCAGTAATTTCCCTAACGCAACTCAGAGCAACGTGTCACTGTTACTATAAACCAAAAGGAGATAGAGCTGATGGCTGACCTAAACCTACTCACACAAGAATCTATTTTGTTATAACTAAGGTACCATCATCCATGCACTTACACTAAAACGAGGTCAGTCCATTGAGCAAGAAGATAAAAAAGAATAGGCCTTGGTAAGGAACCTACAGATAAGGGACAAAATTAAAACCTTTGGAGAACTGAATTTTGCCATGACAAAAATTTGCTCTGACACAATTTCAGGTACCAGCTTCCTTTCACACGCACACAGCTTGATATTATACCACCACTGTTACAAATATCCAAGCAAATGGGGCAATCATCATACTGGGTTCCTATTAAATACTGAGGCACCCAAACTTCAGTCATCTGGAGGAAATAGGAGCAACCTGGGTCTAAGGTCACACTATAAAAACATGATTTTACTTGCTGTAAACCATACTGAGTAGTGAGTAAATACCTTTTGGGTCATCAGGAATGATAATGGGAGGAGCAATGTCTGGAAGTTCCTCTTCTCCTGGCTGGAGACCCTTGGCCCGAAGGTGGCTGATATCTAGAAAATCTGGCATGTCTACAGAAACGTCTAGAAAAGCAGAGGAACAGGCTAAGTGTATGAATTCAGCAAAATGACCTCATGGTACTGCCTACCCCATCAGAGAGGGGACTCTGGTACTCAAGCTACAAGCACAGCCAGGATTCTTCACCTGAAAATGGTTATTTGCGAAATTTGGAACACTAAAGCACAATTTGACTAGGAGGAGATGACATGAAACTGTATTTTAACTCCACAGACCTGATGGATTGGTTTAATTTGTCATAGAAGAGGATTCAATATGGATGGTCACAGTACAAATCTGAGACTCAAGCCAGGTCCTGATTATAGAGCAAAGTGTGTACACCTTATAGGTTAACTTGGATAGAATGAGAAAAAGGTAAATATAAAAGGCACGTACCAAGCTTTTTGGGTATCCAGTCGAGGCCAAAGGTGAATTTCTTTATCTGCACCACTAAGTACTCAGGAAATGAAGCAAAACGAGAAGTCCTGGGACGACACAAGAAATACAATTCAGAGAAACAAGGCAACATGATCACAAGCAGCTGAGATTTCAGTACCTCACGCACAGCAAGATGAGTAACTTTAGCCCTGAGTACTATAAGTAACTACTTTCTAAATTCTTGTTAGCATCACCTCACAATTTTATTAACTTTATCATCTGCAGCATGAAAATTTTGAATTTTAAATAGCAAATTATGCTTCCTCTTTCAATGCTTTTAAAGATCTAATGGATGAAGAACTGCTAAAGTTAACTCTAGATCTATTTGAAGACGAGAATGTTCTTCCAGCACATTCACAGTTAATACAACAAGCCTTTTGATTTCTGCTACATTTTTCTCCACCATGTGCTTGTCCCCTGATTTTCAATACGTCAGGGAAAGTATATGCTAAAACAGCAATGAAGCATTGAGATGTTAAGTGATCTAAAAATAGCAGGTACCTAACCACAGCAAACCAGTCGCAGAGCCAGATTTTCAACCAGTGACATAGAAATGGAACCGGATAAGAGACTAACTCGTGTCCTCAGCAAGAAACACTGCACTGAAAACTGCATTGATCTCTGCCTGCTGTGCTATTTTTTAAGAAAGAAGGCTTTTTTAAGACCAAGATGTTCTCGGTTCTTTTATCTCCCTGACTACAAACATACAAGATGGGTTCCTTCTTTTATATGTCCATCTTGTATGATGGCCCCAGGTAAGTGACAACAAGCTTAACAGATGCCACCAAACACTGTGGCATACAAAGATGATGGGTTGAAATCCAAACACAAACAATAAATAACATAAAACATAACATAATAAAAAAAAAGTTTTCAGCATAGCACTTCACAAACGCAAAATTTTCTATCCATCTAAAGAACTTTCTCACAAGGAACACAACCTTTGTTTGCTTCACTCTGTTTTGTTGCCACACAACACCCTTCAGTATTTTTAGTGAAATGAAGATGTCAAGAGACTGAGCCCAGAGATCCAGATTATGTCTCCTGCCAGCAAGCAGAGCTCTAGCACTAGCTGACACGCAGGATCTGATTTTAAAATGTGGGCAGACAATTAAGCTACAAGCATTTAAAGTTCAACCTCTTAACAATGAGACCCCATCACCTCTTGAAGTGAGTTAAGAACAATTTATTTCCTGATGAAATGGTCATTACAAGGGCTTGAGCTGCACATTATATTTATGAGCCCCAACCCCAATGTGCCAAAGCCCACTATGCCTTTGCCTATTTCCCTCTGCACCATGTCCAGGCAGTAAGACAAGCACGAGCACTACTATATTGATTTTTAATCGGCAGCCAGACACACACTTACTTAACTCCTGCAGATTTTGCTTGAAGGGCACTGCTCCAGAAATCCTCGACGTTGCTTGGTTCAGAAAAGGCCTGCAGACAGGCACTGAAGGGGATCTTGGCACGGACGAGCTCTGGTGGAGGTCTCCTTGCAGCTTCTGCTTCTCGCCTCTTCAATTCGTAGGCGATTAATTCATCTAAGAAATGTACACAACACTAAAAGCTAAATGAAGATTATTGTGGATGTGATGTCCCTTACTGGTCTTAGTTTTGCAAGTTTTAGAAATGGTTTTGGGCTTGGTTTTTGTGTGTCTCTGTGTGTGTGTGTTTGTTTTTACAAGATATTCATTAGCTAGTATGTTTGGTTCCTTTTTAAGCATTGAGAACTTTTTATATACTGGCTCACTGTCCAGGACAAGGGCAATCCAGCGCTAATGAGGATCTTTGGGGACACACACGCACATAAACCAAGGATAAATAAACTGTACTACAAGTGGTGTGGCACATTTTGGGGTCAAATCCAGATTAATGTTTTAAGTCACAAATCTCTGACATTTTTATCATATAAACTGCTACCATTCTTAGTAATATATTCCTGAGCGGTGACACTTAATGGTGGTCCCACAGTCTGAAAAGAAATCTGTCTGAAAACTTGCCAAGAGTTTCCAGGTAGAATCCTTCTCCCCTAAAAATATGATCAGGGATGGTAAAACCAGAAACCGATGTGTGTTTAAAATCTTCTTTAAAGAAAAGCAAAGCAAGTAACTTTCCCCTGATCAGTTCATTGGTTTGATTTGCCACGTGGCCCTGAACCATTCTATCCATACAAAGACCATGTCGGGGTGAGGAAGGTCAGTCAATAGACCAGGTTCTTTCTTTACCTTTATTTGTTGCTGCCTCCATGGCAACAGGTAACTGCATGATATAGTCCACCCTCTCTGCATAGCGGACCTTTCTGGACTGGCAGCATTGTGTGCGTTCTTCCACCAGGAACCGGAAAACATCACTGGGGTTTTCTGAACCTACCGGGTTCCTCTGAAAGGAAGATGAGATCCAATCATTTAAGTGATGAGCATTAAAACCACCAGAGAACCCAAAGGCAGCTGGTTGTTTTACGGCGAGCACGAAGACATCACTCTGGCACCCAGATCTGACAGCTCAGCTTGCATTTTATTGGTTTTATTGCATGCAGAACTCTTACACCCACAGAGGATCTCACTGAAGGCCACAGCATCTGCAAACAGCAATATCTTTCTACACGTAGTACCTTGCAGGGTATGTACCCAAGGAATCTGACTGAGTTGAGCAAACAGAGGAAGGTAGGAAGGTGGCAGGTTAGAATAAAGATAAAAAGCTCAGGTAAATAACAGGGACCATCCTTTCAGAATAGATATTGTTCCTACCACTCTGAATCTGCACTGAAAGGCAACAAGCGACTTGTAGCTCATTATCCAGATTGGAATGTCATACAAATAATGTACCTCCTCCTTATTGTTCATGTTAATGTCTGTTATCAACCAGAAAAATATCTTCTAACCACCCTATAATCAGTATGTGCATTTTGAGATGTGGAACATTACGCATGCAAATGTGAATAACTTCATGTAGACTGTAATACATGAATAATAACCCTCGATTCTTGGGAAAAATGGGAAAAAGAAGAAGGAAGGACAGAAAAGAAATAAATGCTTTAAATCAAAACTGCATGTATTTGTGAATTAGCTTTTCAGAAAGCACTAAAAAGTCACAATACTGATTCTTTTACACACAGCATTGAGCTGGAGCTCAGTGGAACTAACATTTTATACAGAAATATACAACTGGCAAATAGCCCCTTCGCTTTCAGAAGGGGAGTCCTTCCTCCCAGGATGATTCCATGACGTACAGCTGGGATTTGTAAAAGAACTGGACACAGTAATTAGTTTGCTCCCAACAATTATATAAATTTGGAATAATAATAATAATCATAATACCCAATTCATTAATATTCCAAGACAGACTTCAATATGGTAAGCAAATGAATAGCATAAAACAAACAGCAATTTAAAGGACAGTCACATATATTTTAAATTTTATAGCCTGCATGGTGATGCTTGCTCTCCTTATATCTCTTGCAGTTGTTAGTGGCAGCACTGGACCTGTGTGCGGTCATGCAATTGTCTGAAATGAAGGGAGAATTATAGAAACAAAAGTTTCTAAACGAAAATACATTTAAATTAGTGCCATTTTCTACATATCCAAGGTTAAAAAGAGGATAATAAAAAAATAAGCCACTCCTATAACAGTTTTGCCCTCATAACCAGGGAAAAGAAGCAGTAATCCAGATTTTCTCACCTCTACTAGATTTATAAGATGTAGAAAAAATTCCTGTGCGTCTTGTTGTCTATTAGAGGAAAATTCTGGGTGGCCTTTACTTAGAGAAATGTACATGATACTAAAAGCTAAATGAATATTATTGTGGCTGTGATGTCCCTTACTGGTCTTAGTTTTGCAAGTTTTAGAAATGGTTTTGGGCTTGGTTTTTGTGTGTCTGTGTGTGTGTTTTTTTTTACAAGATATTCATTAGCTAGTATGTTTGGTTCCTTTTTAAGCATTGAGAACTTTTTATATACTGGCTCACTGTCCAGGACAAGGGCAATCCAGCGCTAATGAGGATCTTTGGGGACACACACGCACATAAACCAAGGATAAATAAACTGTACTACAAGTGGTGTGGCACATTTTGGGGTCAAATCCAGATTAATGTTTTAAGTCACAAATCTCTGACATTTTTATCATATAAACTGCTACCATTCTTAGTAATATATTCCTGAGCGGTGACACTTAATGGTGGTCCCACAGTCTGAAAAGAAATCTGTCTGAAAACTTGCCAAGAGTTTCCAGGTAGAATCCTTCTCCCCTAAAAATATGATCAGGGATGGTAAAACCAGAAACCGATGTGTGTTTAAAATCTTCTTTAAAGAAAAGCAAAGCAAGTAACTTTCCCCTGATCAGTTCATTGGTTTGATTTGCCACGTGGCCCTGAACCATTCTATCCATACAAAGACCATGTCGGGGTGAGGAAGGTCAGTCAATAGACCAGGTTCTTTCTTTACCTTTATTTGTTGCTGCCTCCATGGCAACAGGTAACTGCATGATATAGTCCACCCTCTCTGCATAGCGGACCTTTCTGGACTGGCAGCATTGTGTGCGTTCTTCCACCAGGAACCGGAAAACATCACTGGGGTTTTCTGAACCTACCGGGTTCCTCTGAAAGGAAGATGAGATCCAATCATTTAAGTGATGAGCATTAAAACCACCAGAGAACCCAAAGGCAGCTGGTTGTTTTACGGCGAGCACGAAGACATCACTCTGGCACCCAGCTCTGACAGCTCAGCTTGCATTTTATTGGTTTTATTGCATGCAGAACTCTTACACCCAGAGAGGATCTCACTGAAGGCCACAGCATCTGCAAACAGCAATATCTTTCTACACGTAGTACCTTGCAGGGTATGTACCCAAGGAATCTGACTGAGTTGAGCAAACAGAGGAAGGTAGGAAGGTGGCAGGTTAGAATAAAGATAAAAAGCTCAGGTAAATAACAGGGACCATCCTTTCAGAATAGATATTGTTCCTACCACTCTGAATCTGCACTGAAAGGCAACAAGCGACTTGTAGCTCATTATCCAGATTGGAATGTCATACAAATAATGTACCTCCTCTTTATTGTTCATGTTAATGTCTGTTATCAACCAGAAAAATATCTTCTAACCACCCTATAATCAGTATGTGCATTTTGAGATGTGGAACATTACGCATGCAAATGTGAATAACTTCATGTAGACTGTAATACATGAATAATAACCCTCGATTCTTGGGAAAAATGGGAAAAAGAAGAAGGAAGGACAGAAAAGAAATAAATGCTTTAAATCAAAACTGCATGTATTTGTGAATTAGCTTTTCAGAAAGCACTAAAAAGTCACAATACTGATTCTTTTACACACAGCATTGAGCTGGAGCTCAGTGGAACTAACATTTTATACAGAAATATACAACTGGCAAATAGCCCCTTCGCTTTCAGAAGGGGAGTCCTTCCTCCCAGGATGATTCCATGACGTACAGCTGGGATTTGTAAAAGAACTGGACACAGTAATTAGTTTGCTCCCAACAATTATATAAATTTGGAATAATAATAATAATCATAATACCCAATTCATTAATATTCCAAGACAGACTTCAATATGGTAAGCAAATGAATAGCATAAAACAAACAGCAATTTAAAGGACAGTCACATATATTTTAAATTTTATAGCCTGCATGGTGATGCTTGCTCTCCTTATATCTCTTGCAGTTGTTAGTGGCAGCACTGGACCTGTGTGCGGTCATGCAATTGTCTGAAATGAAGGGAGAATTATAGAAACAAAAGTTTCTAAACGAAAATACATTTAAATTAGTGCCATTTTCTACATATCCAAGGTTAAAAAGAGGATAATAAAAAAATAAGCCACTCCTATAACAGTTTTGCCCTCATAACCAGGGAAAAGAAGCAGTAATCCAGATTTTCTCACCTCTACTAGATTTATAAGATGTAGAAAAAATTCCTGTGCGTCTTGTTGTCTATTAGAGGAAAATTCTGGGTGGCCTTTACTTATAAAAGCCTTAAACATTCGGGGAGATATTCCATTGTGTTGAGGCTAAATAAGAGAAAGAAAAACCTTTTAAAGAAAGATTTTTATTAATTCCTGGACTAAGTATCCCAAAGTCACTCCACTAGATCTAACTATGGCCCATTTCTGCCACTAGAGAAAAGACAGAAGGACGGTAACACACTGCTTTTAGCCATTCAGTTACATCACTAAGAAACTATCCCAAATCAGAAAATTCCTTGCTTCCAAGAGAGTTCTAGTTTTGACTTTCTCACCCTGTATATCACTTTAAGAAGCCCCCCCAACCATGCCTAGTTGCATCCTCAAGACCACACTAGCTATTATCCTTTCTAAATAACACTATTATTAGAATCTTTTACCCAGATTTGTCCTCATTGTCCATAAGACCAAATAATTTTCAAGATAATCCAAGCCTTTATAAGGGGGAGGCTGTTAAATACTCAGCCAATCTCTTTCTTTACTACTGTTGTGCTATTATACCAATATAAAAATAGAAAAAAACAACATGAAATGGAAGGCACATAAAACACGCACTAGAAGAGCAAAATTTTATTCTTGGTTTCACCAAGGTAAGGTATTCCTAGACCCACTGAAATCAGAAGCAGATTCTCAATTTTAATTCTTTTTCAATTTCTGGCAGTACACCAGCAACCACATTAGGCCAAGACGTTCTTTAAAGGCTCTCAGTATTGCTTGAACAAAGAGATGTTCTAGGGATTTCTGCATCTTGGGTTATATATCACTTCAGTGTCCTCAACTGCCTTCCATCAAAGCTAGGAATGGGGAGAGAAATGCATAAAGCAGCTCAAATTACTATACACCAGGGGAGTTTGTATCAGAAGTAAGAATTCAGCAAAGTAGCACATTTGCCCCGAGTTTGGAATTAAGCCTTGTTTCCATCTATACACTTTTTAGTCAGCCACTTCAGCAGGGAGAAGAGCAACACACCATGTGTGACTGTCTATAGAAGAGGATCTTGCCATCTAAACCCCTTCCATCTCAAGGACAAGAAAAATAAGAGAGGAAATAGCAGAGCTCTAAACAGAAAACCAAGCCCTAGCTGATGACCCTTCAGGCTTCCAGTCTGTTTTTAATGTTAAGGTGAGTGAAGAAAACTGCAGCCATTTTCAGATTAAACTCCTGTGGTGAAAAATTTCAGCTCCACAGTACCATGAATATTTATAGAATACCTTGCATACTTTCCCCATCAACAGTTGCAAAACAGTTTAGCTAAATATAGACTATGCTGGACCACTGCAGATCTCATATGAATGCTTCTACAGGCAACAACTCCCCAAAACTTTGGATGAACTCCAAAGACCCAGAAAGCCAGAGAACTTCTTTGCATGTAGGAGGGGGGAAAAAAAAAAAGTAAAATAATAAAAATAAATTGAATAATTGATTTTATAGACACAAAGCAGAAGCATTTGAAAATGCTGAAGGTCTAAAATCCTACGCAATTGTATTTATTATAAACGTCTGTACAACCCTCTGGATGACAAAATGCTATCTGTATGTACACCAGTATTATCTATACCAGTATTAGCTGGGGGGAAGCCAGCAAACAAAAATAGTGCCCCCAAAGCAACAAAGAATAGATATGTTTGGCCAGAGTGAGGGAATGGAGAAAATATCTATACTTCTTTTTTTTTCCTAAATACATCTTCAATAGAAAAGGAACAAAAGCAGCAAAACCTTATCCATGCTATGAATTGCTTGATAAAGTCGCCTGTTGCATGTAACTACAATTTAATTAAACTGAGCTTATGAATAACACAACTATTGTTAAATGCCAGTAGTTGCTAAGTTTTAAACTTCATTTAAAGGAAACAAGCAGGATTCATTTGTTGTTCCAAACCTATCAGTAGCTACCGTACAAAGCAATGACTTGGGAGACACAGGACTTTTTAAACTACTCCGTACCACATGTTTTATCTTTATCCAAAATCTCCTTGGTATTCTGATTTCAGTAGGAGAAATTCCTATATCAATAACTGATAGATGAAGGCAGAGGAAAATACCTGTTTCCATGGAAACTGGCACTACACTTCTGTGACAGAAGCACGTGTGGTTTCTACCATGTGTAAAACTACAACTTGGCATCAGATCCTCTCTCCATAAAGACAGCTCTTTTCAAGTTTCCATGGAAACTAGCACCATACTTCTGTGACAGAAGCACATGTGGTTTCTACTGTGTGTAAAACTACAACTTGATCCTCTCTCCATAAAGACAGCTCTTTTCAGGTCGTGTTTCCAGTATTGGTTATTAGTTGACCTTTCATTTCTATATATCCCATCTCTGGAGCCTGTGGCTTCACTTGACATTCTGCTTGGGGTCACATTAACAGGGGCCGGGACATAAATCTATTCTAGGTCCAGTTCTCCCAGCATCACTCTAAAAGTTAGATGAACAGTAAACTCAATCTAGAATAACCAAGTCGCCTGGGTAAGTAACATTGTTCCAATAACTAATATTTTGCTTAAGACAAAACACTCACTGTGACAGAGAAATAAACTTCTGTATTGCATTAACATGGGGAAAAAGGTTATTTCATCCTTCAGTCCCTCTTTCCTTTGTGTCCAGCATGGTATTTATCCAGTACTTTCAGGGTCCCTTCCAACTTGATCTATTCTATGATTCTATGGCTCTGCATGACTCCTCCTTCACCTGCATGAAAGCCTCCAGCACCGCTCCATCTTGCATTACCTTGATTTCTCCTGACTTTCTCCTGAAATCAGGTGGAATAACATCAGACACTTCCTGGAAACAACTCTTTAGCTCCTAATACTTTTTTCTGAAATTTAAAGTGGGTTTAGAAGTTTGCTTCCAGATACTCAGGACTCTCTAGATAAGGATCTTTTTGTTGTTCCTCAGAGAAGATAAACAGAAGTTGCAAGTTCTATGAACTTTTGCACTCATCACTGGAGCAGCAGAACACTTCATTAGCAGAACCAAGGGTCGTTTTAACACTTTGCACAAATAGCCCCTGACTAATCTATTCCTGACTAGAATCCTGCACATTCCACCTTGCTAAGCATCCTATGCTTGATCCACACGTGCTCCTCAACGCCCGGCACCTGTTCCCTTTTCTCAGGATATCACTTTTACCTAGTTACCAGGCTGCACAAACTCAGTCAAATACCTTGTGTTCTTCTTTCATCACCTGCTCAATAAGCTCAGATTTCACGGGTGGCTTAGAGTACTGGCCTGAAAGGAGGCCGTGTCCCAGTTTAGCCCTGCAGGGAAGAAAGTGGTGGGGTGGAAACAAACGTGAGAAAAACAGAAAAGAGAAGAATTTTAGTCCGAGCAAAAAAAGGAGTTTGCTGCCTTTGACCCCCTGATGAAACATCGTTACCTGCAATTAAGTGGGCAAATCTTCCCATATCTCACTTTGAAGCCCATGCAAAGCACGTTCTTTTGCCCTAACATTAAATTATTTACATTCTATTTAACTTGACCAAGGAAAACATTGAGAAGTGTCACTTACATCTGAGTGTTGAAATCTTGCGTTGGATCAAGAGGAGAGTAGTCGTATATTCGTGGGAGGTTTCCCACATACCTGGGCAACAGGAACAAAGCAGAAACATTCAAACATCCCAGCAAAATTTACTCAACAATATCCTAACAGACCCTCAGCCTTCAGCAGTGATACATCAGCAGTCTTCCTCTGTGGGATTTACTCAACAATATCCCAGCCCAGACCCTCAGCCCTCAGCAGTGATACATCAGCAGTCTTCCTCTGGGCAAACAAGTCACATTCTGCATCATAGCAATGACTTAATCCATCCCCGGTGAGAGCTTCTATCACAGAAAAATAATAGTAAAGAAAATATGAAAAGACATTTAAGTTTTGCTTAGAAGCTTCTAGCTTTAAAGGGTATGGCAGTGTTGTTCATCTGGAACTTAAATTCTATTCCTTGATCTTGAAATAGCTGCAGGACGGTGTTGCTCAAAACCATAGAGCTGGGCTGAGGGAACCAATGTAATGTCTGCTCCCCACCAGCATCACCAAATAAATTTCAAATTTGTATCAGGACCAAAACTTGTAAAAAGAATGTTTCTATTGAGTTTCTTCAGAGAAACAAAGGCTATCTCCTGACCATAAACACTGGGGTATACATTGTTCTAGCCAGTTTGTCAGAAAGTGAAGCATTTAGTAGCACTCCATCTGAGCATCGGTTCCCTTGAGCACAAGAAAAACAGGCAAGGTAGGTATGGCCATGTTGAAAGAACGTATCTCATTTCTGCCTGGTCCCTCTTCCATCAAAGATCTCCACTACTTTGTTGATACTAAGTGCTCTGGGGAACTCCAAGGACCAGGCTGTGGAAAACAACTTCCCTTAGTTGTTTTTGTCCTGAAGTCCTTTTTGATATTTTTCAAACGTGGAAGTAGAAAAGCTGGTGCTTAATGAAGCTACAGGCTGTACTCCATATGGCCAACAAAGTAAACAAACACAAGTTTTCTCCCTCTTCTTCTCCAGAAGGCAACTGCTACATGAAAACCTGGGAGGCTTTCCAAAATCTAAGAGCCTTTAGTCGAGCACACACACTATTACTGCTGTGCAATGAAAGCACACTCTGAATTTTACTGCAAACCACAGAGTGTCCTTTATACAAAGGCTTCTCTCCTTGGAGTGATGTCTGTGTTCTTCATAAGTCAGCACTATTTTGTATTCTTCTGTTGTGCTTTGGTCCTTTTAATTATTCAGTGGAAGAATATACTCACACTACCCTTTTCATGAAATGAGATTTTTTTTTTAATAAGAATTTTAATTTAAAGAATGCCTCGAATAGTTTCTCATCTTCTTAGCCGGATCTGCAGGCAAAAGGTGCATTGCTTTTCACTAGCATGGATCAATATTAACATGTTTGTGCAAGTACAACTTGTTGTACATATGACATTGGAACAACAGAATGATTCCTGCAGCTGTATGAAGGCAGAGGCCAGCACAAAAATCCCTGTGATACTGATGATAGTGAGACAGAAATATATACCTATGTATATAAAAAGCAGAGACAGAGCAGTAAGTTTAAAAGGTGGCATATGACTTCCCACCACTGAGACTAAGTTCTGATGTCAAAGGCAGATTGGGTTTTGTCTTCCAACCTTTTCCAGAACAGAACAATACAACAGCTAAATCCTCTACGCAGCCACTGAACTGACTGAAACAGACTTGTTTAGGTGAGACAAATTAAAATACCATTTTGCTTAGAAATACAGGAGACTGAGGAACCCAGCAGCTCATGACCAGATCTACTTTCAAGCTACTCACGCCCGCTGGAACTCTGGGATGCTGAAAATGGCCTGCATGACAGCATTGAGGTAGCAGCTGTTTCCCAGGTTCTTCATGCCGGTGTATCCTGGGCCGTACATGGGCTTGAGTTTCACACCAGCTTCCTGAATCACTTCCCATTCGGAGACTCTTGGTTTTATATCATTATCTCTTAGCCCATTCTCTGTCTGAAAGCAACAAGATATTTTTTTAAAAATCTGTTTTACTTCTGCAACAATTATGCTGCTGCTGTCATCATCACCAGCTTTGTGTTCTACACTCTAGAACAGAAGAGCCAAACCAATGGCCAAAGGGAGATAAAACCCCTGCACACCATGAAGGCTTTTGAAACTGCAGTTTAACTCTTTTCTATCATTTTAGAGTTTTTATTAGTTTTCTCTCCACTTGGAGAATGAAATACACTAAACCAGTATCAGGTTTGTTCTTTTTTAAGTTTTCATGTTCAGTTTCTCAGGCAGTGACACTAGGCTACGTGCTTCAATGAAAAAATAAGAATAAAGCCACCTGCCTTTATAGCTATTCCATTCAGACTTCTTTGATGATTTAATCAGAACTGGAATCAACATCCACTAGGATACAAATTATTAAAATGGCTTCTCTACTAACACAGACCAGTGACACATTTTTGCCCCAGTCCCTTTCTAGTCTACCACACCATAGACCACCCTGGATTCTAGACTTGAGACAAGGTATTTTTTCATTTTGTAATGTATATGTTAACAAGGACTAAACTGAAATGTATAACTTTGCATATAGAACCTTTCAACCACTTTTTTATTTATTGAAAGCTTAGCTTAATTTTGCTTAAGATTTGTATCTGTTCACATATGTAATGGGCTTTCCTTCATACACTGTAATTAAATATTGAAGATACTCTTCTCCAATTGAATGAGGTTTTTCAGCTTGAAGGAAAATGGTATACAACACAAGAGAAGTGAAACATGTAAGCTAAGGACTACAAAGGAGCTCTTTTGGAAGGGAATTTTTAGAT